ACTGTGTCCTGGTTGCATTTAGTGCTCATTGACAGAGTGTGGGGGCTGAGTTCAAGTGAGCAGTAGCTTTGGTCTGTATATTGAACTTCCTGGCTGAATTGCATTGTTTGCATTATTTTGGCGGCCATGCCATCACAAGGTGTAAGAACTGGTGACCTGCTCTCTGTATGTGATTAATAAAGGTCAACCTTGTTTCTTTAGTGCTGTAAGTGTTGTATCTTTTGTTGTTATTTCACTTCACTTGGCCAGTGCATAAAATGACATCCTTTCTTCACTGTCTGACAATTTTTAGTACCAAAGACAGTGACATATGCTTCAGTAGTGCTTTAAGTAACTACAGTTTGTGATTGAGAGGTTGCTGTAAGTTTTTCTCTGATGAGTGGGGCTGTTTGCTTGCATTATGACAGTTAAATAGCAATACAAACGTGTGAAGATTTAAATTGTCTTTTAAAACAGCAGATCTACTAAAACAGCGCTATCTACTTCTGACTTGGCTTGTTTGACGATCTACACCACTCCTGTCAGTAGCTGTATCAAGTTATATTGTATTCAGTCTCATTTTGTTGAACTAAATCGTGAAAAAGTCATATTCTGAACCCATTATCGTGAATTGCATTGAATATTGAGTTTAGTGTATCGTTATATCATTGCGGTACATTTAGCTTTGGGCCCCCGTTTAATACCGAGTTCGGTAACCCACAGATGATCTTAAACAAAACACAGTAGCTTTTGATGTTACCTTTCCCAGTAACCCCTCTTTCCATCTCTTACCACACTGATAAGTTGTATTAACTGCAGTCCCACGGTGACCACTACGGCCTCGCTGAAGTGGTTAACAGGACGAACCACCTTGTTGTAACCAGTAAACAGGGTTTTCACCAGTCGAGTCTCATCCTCTGAGCAGAATACTGGACCTTGGGCACACACACATAAACACAAATTCAGTCAGGCTCCATTTTGTTTTACGCTCGACGATGAGGAGAGGAAAACACAGACTTGGGCCACGTAGGTTGTGATGTCGAGGAATGAAACTTAAGAAACCTTGAGACTCGGAACTAATGTCAGTAATGTCTGATTTATACTGCAAACTAGCTCTAGCTCACAGATTCAAAACAAATGTTATTTTGGGCTCACTTTGGCCGAGGTTCACACGGGGAGTATGACATGTTGCCGTACCCAGCTGACGGCCATGTTCCCACTAGTGTTTTCACACCGGAACTGAAACCTCAGCTCAAGCGAGAGGGAACTGTGATTCACACACCAAACATTTCCCTGGCTTACAACCAGCAACCCGAAACCCTTCCATGCGACAGTGTGAGAGAGAGAGAGAATTTCTAGGAAGAGAGAAAGACAGGAAGAGAGAGGAATTATCAGATGAGAGGCAGGCACAGGCAGATG